CTTCTATACTTTTTAGCACGTAGTTATTTATTATTAGCATTGTTCTTCCGACGTCTGATTTCTTTTTAATTATAGGAAATGCGTTTTTCTAAGGTACATAAACTTTTGGGATTGACTGCATAGACAATACATCCTTGAATATAATCACCCTCGGCAGATATGGTCCACCTCAAATCATCTCGCTTCCTGATTCAGTTAAACTGCGTCGCAGTTTTTAGTGGCGAACCGCGCAAAGACGAATGCGTAACAATCACGTTCGATTCGTTCTCCCCGCTATGCCGCTGCACCGTCGACTGACAATGAGAGTGGACACGTGAACTCTAAACCGACGCGACGCGACGTATGCGTGCTCCCCAGAGGCCCATATATAGGGGCCCGTTTACCCACTCGCCGGCTTACAGCATCCGTAGCCGCCGCCGCGAGTGCATCTCTTTGACAACCGTGTTCTCTTTTCCCGTAGTGGAATTGCAGGAGAAATTCCGAAAGCTTATCGTTCAGTGAGGAGATTATATACACATATATATATCAACTAGTAAAAGAGGGGTAGTTGACTGTAGAAGAAGAAATTTATTGGAAAATCGTTTCACGGACGATTGTTTGGTCGGATACGGTGCAGCCGATCCGTAAGAGTAAATCGGCGACCGGCGCAAGGGAGATAGCATTGTGAACCCGGCCGGGGGTGGTTTGGATTTTTATTCGCGTTCGGTGGTAGACGGAGCCAACCGAGTGCGAAAGATACTCTGAATAGATCGGCCCGTGTGTTTCGTGGCTGCTAGCTGCTATCTGCCGCTTACTCCTGCCCCGTTGACTCGACCCCGTGGTACAGTTTCTCCTGATCGGTTTATCGTGACACCCGAACGAGCAGCAAACGGTTTTCCTCCCCCCGTTTACGAAAAACTAAAGGGTTTCCGATGATATAAACGAGCGTTAAAGGACGACAGAATAACGAAAACTTTTTAAAGCGATCTGAAACGACTTTTTCATACCGAATGCACGACTGAACTACAGTTTCAAGTGCATCTTCGCTCGGTGAACGAGTGTATTAGTTAGTGCGACTCAAAAAGTCGGAAGGAATTTCCACGTTGGAACCATGCGGTTCACCGGAACCAACGCGCTTTTCACGCTGCTTCTGGCGTGCGTGCTCGCGGACGCTGCCGTGTTCCTCGACGATCTCCACCATCATGATCATGACTACGGTACGGTTGCAGGTACGCAGTCGTGCACCGACACCGAGTTCAAGTGCTCAGACGGCAAGTGCATACCTGAGGCCTGGCACTGCGATGGGGACAACGACTGTCACGATAAATCCGATGAGGACCCTGCGATTTGCAGTGAGTACTTTTCTTTTGTAAATTATCTGCTTGTCGTCTAACCCAGATAAATCTGACCCTCTAACTTTAAGTTTGACCGAATTAGAAAGCAAGAGTTATCTCGAGATTGTAGAAGTGTCGCCATTAGTAATCGAGAATGCTTGTTCTACTTCTGTTATCTTTTTAATCTCGTAAAGGATTCAAAAGAAAATTCTGAACTCTGACTTGTGTATCGAACCTCCTTTCCCTTAATGTATTACGCAGAGGTACATGCGTAGACAATGCGACAAATTTCAAGAGAATGTTGCATCAGCTCATGATTTCATAATAGGTAAATATATAATTTCATGAACTGATGATAAAGTAGAAGTAATTTAATACTAAACCTACCGACATTTTATATATACTTATTTCTACCGATGGCGATTAAATGACCGCTTTTCAAATAAACATTATATTCTTTTCCAGTTGATTATAGATAATACAGAATTTAGCATAGGCAATAAGAAACAAAATAATTATCATGTAATAATTAAATAATATGATAAAAAATAATCTTAAAAAGCGAACATTTGACCGCTCTGGTAGGTTTGGTATTAAAAAAAATGTCCATGAATAAATCAAGATATACTTTCGCATGATGATAATTCTACAGGTGAGGTTTTGAATATTTTTACAAAACGTAATTTGATTCGTCCAGGCGCCACGAAAATTCAACAGAGTTTTCCTTCCCGTTCATGTTGCAAGTTTTTAACAATACGTCGCAAATTAAATTGTCATAAATCACGGTGGGAGCGTGCACAGAATTTTCGCTGGTATAGTGAAAAAAACGTCGCATTAAAGCCAGAGATTAATTATGCAGCTAACGAAAATTAATGATAGTTTTGTCGCGGTAAACTCGTGCGTAAAAAGTTAGGACACTGGGTCACAACAAACAATTTTCCAATAGATAAAATCTTACGAAAAGATATGATGCTCACCAACGATGATTTAGCAATACTTACATTATTTATTGACACCGTAATGAACTTACGATTAGAAAAATTAACTACTGTTTATAGTAGATAATGCTGCTTATCTTTACATTTATTCGTATCACCATTAGGAATGTAAATGGAGACTCGATTAATATTTATATATACATTCCAGAAATAAAAAGTTACGCTCTTTTAATTAACCGAGTATTAAGTGTGATTTTTTCATTTTATTCTCGGTGTGGATTTCGGCTGATGCGAATCGTTACGAGGTATCGCGTTATTAATAATAACGAACAGCCAGCTCGCTCCGATTTAAACGCGAATGCCGGATTATTAATATTCATGCCGATGCGTTTCTCGTCACCGCGAATCCGTGTATATACGTAGGAACGCGCATACGGTAATTAATATTCGATTATAATCCTCCCGCGAATGTAAACACGCGAATGAGACTGTTCGCTACCGCTGATTACTTTTGCGTTTCGGTAACTGTCCACGATTGTCGGCTATGCAACGATTATATTACTGCGCGAGAGAGCGAATTCATCTTATAAATTGCGCGTTTATACGTACAGATGTCAATAAAAACTACTAGTTTACTGATTTCACTGAAACAAGTTATGTACGAATTGCCTATAGCAGAGGTGGTTACTATCGGATTTTTAAATTATTTTGCGTATTATTGTTATGTTAATTGTTTATAATCTAATATTCTTATTTCTCTATTGTACTTTATAGTGTAATAAATTTATTTAAAATTGCTTCTACTAATATTTTTATTTGAAGTAGTATTTCAATATTTGTTGTTTATTAATATTTAAAGATTTGCATGAATATGTGATATATGCTACAATAGTGAAATATAACAAATTATAGCAGTCTCTTTTATTACTGGCATCTAAAGGTTCCCCATTTTTGGCCTATTAAATATGGTAGAAATCATTCTACGAATTGTTCTGTTCATGGGGTCTGAAACAGTAGATATTTCTTATTGACTCATCCTTCACGAAGTGTTAATTGCAACTGTTGCATGTTTCTAAAGGTTTCCAAATGAAAATGCAAGATTTGATTTTATGGTTGCAGTTATAAATGTACGTTTGTTTCTAGCAACAAGTCGTCGATATTTGTTAAATGAATTTGACAGAAGAACGTAGAATACGTAGTGAAGCGTACAAAAAAAGAATACGAGGAGGAATGAGTACCTGAAAGGGCATTTGTTCCTATGGTGACGTGTTTCTTTTCCTTCCATAGCCCGGAGCTTTCAAGAGAAAATAGCCAATAAGTGGTAGCATTTGTTATCTGTACGAGGAACCAGGAAACCTTTAGAAATATCCTTGGTAACAGGCAACATTTCGATAAATAGTATACAACGTAAAATGTAATGAATTAATTGACCACTGATTAGTCAGACGTCGACGCTAACATGTCCGCAAAAAGTTAATACATGGAAATCAATCGTCATTACTGAAATAAAACTAGTTTCATTGATACAGTCAGTAATCTTATTACGATCGCATGATTAATCAGAATTCACATCATTAAAATTAATCAGAACCAGTCGGTCGTTTAATTAACTGATTACAAGATTTGCATTCGCATAACACCCTCTGTGAATGAAATTGAAAAAGGGAGAAATATAGTGATCGTCATCGTGCGTTAATAAAATGAGCTGTTGCGAGTGGTACAATTTCTGAGGAGACACAGTAAACGTGAAACGGGTAACTGATCGTAATTTTTTGATCGGCCCTAGTAACGATTCGATTCCCTCGCCGCGGACGCAGGTATGTGAAAGTGCAACTTTTCGGACCGGTTTCGCGCAGGTGAAGCGGATTGACGCGTGAACGAAAGCTACCGTTAGCTTTCAGACGCATTACAATGTAATACGCGTCTCGACGCAGCGACATTTTTATTTAACGCATATTTCCGGCCATTCTTTTTTGCCTTCTCACCTGTTCTCCGTAAAAAAACACTTCGATACGGATGTTATCGTTCAACGTTGGATCGTGCGTTCAGTTCTGAGAGCGATTAAATCAGCTTTAAATAGAAAAATACGATTAGTAGACATCCGGTTGAACATTGTATAATTCCAAGCCAATTTCCGAGCGACTCATTTTTTATTCTAAATTTATCAGCATGAAATTACACGGTAATTTTGATCACGAAGGACGACCGGTGCCGTTGGATCTATATTCGACGTACGTGATGAAAGTCTCTTTACGACGGTTTTTTTGTTTAACACTGCAGAAAATAATCGAACGCTCGACATAGTGGCGTTAACGCGCGTATACATATAGACGCCTAAGGATTTTATATCCCTAATCAAAAAGCGATGCCTCCTCCTCGCGAGACTAAGAAATCCATGAATGCGGAAGAATAATTGTACTAATTGCGATACTGATTGTAAATTGACCGAGTCGCCCTTGTTCACCTTTTTGTCGAACTTCCTCGTTGCGATTAATCGGCTAAATTTAGCACATTAAGAATGTCTGATAGCTCTCGATGAATTCCAATTATACGAGCGTCACTCGATAGACATACGCAAAATACGCGTCGACTCAAGATTTTTTTTATACCCCTATCGCGATCTGCGATTTGGACTTTACACTTCCTACGCGTTGTGTTAGGAAATAAATTATTGATTACGCATGACTTGATTAGATCCATCTATCTCGTCAATGAGCACAGAATTTCTGCTACAAGCAATTAATCTTATGTATCGGTCAACCCTCCAGTAAATCATCGGTCATATTTTTCATCACAAATTCACGTCGTTATCTGTCTAATGGCCTAACAGATTTGTCTGATCAGACAATTCAGTTGCTACTAGATGGCAAAGTCAAGATGATTGCTTTGCGAAACGATGTTTTAGTAGAAGAACAGTTAGATTATTGCTAATGTATGTATGCAATGTTTTGTATCCATTAACATGTTCAGTAGCGTGACCCAGATCTACAACTCGGATTAAATCCGTCGTTCCTATTCGATTTTGCTTTGTGCGTCGCGATCGTCTTCGTAATGGAACAGTTCGGTAATCACATTCCAAACTGCGATGCAGTTCGAAATTGCAAATTTTGTTCGCTTCGTTTCTATACCTCAGTAATTGTATGATTTGCCACAGCATATTCCGTCAACGTACTTCTTAGAGATTAAGAATAACTCAGGGAACTAGTGATAAAATATATATGAAAAACATCAGAGCTATTTTCAATTCATAGATTTACCTCTTTAAATTTAATTCTCGAGCACATTTCTGGTCGCAACGTCAATAGCTGACATGAGAAAAATCGGTTTCTCCAATTGTACGATTAAAGAGCGACGAAAATAATTCAACAAATCTTTAATCGAGTCTCACAATTAGTCCGAGGTCGTTCGCGAATCACTCGACGTACTTAAGACTTCTCAGGTGTTGAAAGTGTTGTTGACCCTTGTTAAAACTTTAATTATCGGAATTAATACCAAGGCAATCAGAGAATTTCAGCGTTAATTAGCCCAAGTCGGATTTACATCATCTTCAGTTAAGTAAATCAAAGTTCTGCCTCTACGCAATTTGCATTTACGATAGACAAAAGAGGCATTGAAATCTTAAGAGCCATATTCGAAGGAGTATAAAAAAAAAAGTAATTGGCCATCCGATCATATTTTTAATGAGGGTGAACGGAACAGAGCAGGTATTCAGATACAATGGATTTGAGATGTGATCGATCGAAAGTTAAAGAGGATTATATTAATGTATAATAATAGGTAATTTGAAAACGACAGGAAGTATAGAGTACCTACTTCTGTGCCGGGTCGTGAACTTTACGAACGAGCTTGATACTTTTGTATACTGCGGGTAGCCAAGAATGCTAACCGATGCGAACAAAGTCGAGTGGCCAATCGAATCCCTCTCTTTCTCCGGAATTCTGATTTTTCCAGCGTGACAATCCATTATAACGCGGCATCGGCTACGGTTTTTAATATTAATTGTTCATGCCAGAACTCGTTTCAATCGTTCAAACGGTTTCAATACTGCAGAGGCAATTGAAACCGGGCTATCTGATAAAAGACAGAAATCAAAGAGTGGAAGCGACGCGATTTGGAGGCTCGGTATAAAAAAAAGTAAAATAGAAATAATGTAAAACGAAAAGAGAGAGAAAGGCAGAGAGGGAGGATTGCTCCAGTTATTCGCGCGTGTGCCGGTTAATTGAAAATATTCCGAGTTAGCCGCGCGTGGAAAAACTTCCACGTGTCGTTTAAACATCGAATATCAGTTAAATGAAAATTAAATGTTTACGCTACTTAATAAATAAGGTATACCTAATTTTATTATTAATAATTCGAACAATTCATTGATTATAATTATTTTTATTAAAATGAAAATATTCGTCAATAAACACTTGAAACTGATGACTGAAATTGTCGAAGGTAACGATTATCGATTGATCCGGTCGATGGTAATGGTCAAGAGCGATGCATCGATAACGCACGAGTCAAAGGGTAACGAACATTTGATCGGGCCTTTCCTCGTCGAGTATTACGACCGAGCCGCCAATGCCGTTCACGATCGCTCGTAATCCTCAAACGACTACGCGTGATGCCGCTTTGAAATTTTATGTGAAACGTATCGATCTTCCAATTAGAGAAGTGGAACTGGACTAAACGCGTTCTACATATCATTCTTTTAATCGTTATCGAAGAAGCAGTTCTTACGATATCGAACGATATTATAATACATGTTGCCATGTCGATAGTACATTTCCTGTTGTCAGTTTTATGAAAAGAAATTGCAAAGTGCACTATACGTGCGTAATATCGTGTCCCATTGAAATATACGGTATGGTTAAAAGCTTGCAACGGAGGAAGGAATTAATAGGTATGTTCAAGTTTTAATATCGGCGATCCTAATAAATGTTTCGCGGGTTATTATGAAAAATGATCAAGCGATTGTGCGATAAAGGGACGAAACCATGCGGCGAGACGGAGTTTGAGTGCAGCCCGGGCGAGTGCATACCAAAGCGCTGGCTGTGCGATCTCCAGTTGGACTGTGTCGACGGGCTCGACGAGAAAAATTGCAGCAGTAAGTTTATCGATAAGTCGCAGGTCTGTCCCGAGGAAGCCAAAGGAGAAACGAGCTGAAAAAGGAACAACTACGAAACGCGTACAGAGAGACGCGGGGTTTTATACGCTTGGAGACGAGGGTGGATCAAGTCTCGGAATCGCAAATTGCATCCCTTGAATCATTGGACTCTCTCCCCAAAGCGGTAATCGCGACCCGACTGACGCACCGCACCGGAAGCAAAATAAATTATCAGCGAAAGTAAATATCGGGGTTTCCAATCTCGTGAGTTTTCCCTCCGCAAATTTTCATTTTCTTCCCTTCTCTCTTCCTTTTTCTACGAAGAGTTTCTATATACGTGGAACCTCGGTAACGTGCATTCTCGTCGACGCTGCTCTCGTTTTTAGTAACTTAACTGTACAGAGTATTTGATAAATGAAATAACGAAATAAAGTTAAATTAATATAGTAAGTCGAAAAAGAGCAGAGTAAGGGTCGAGTTTGATATACAAGGGAATTCTATATTAGGGCTAAAGAAGTGGGACGTGTCCGAGTACGAATTCTCGTGAACAATTGACCCTGGGATGCGATTCGCGAGATCCAGAGACAGGCACTCGACGAAAATAGAGATCATTGTGTAGTACGCGAATGAGAGACAGGAATGACGGGTTCCCTCTGGTATAAAAATAAAATCCAATCGACTGTCATCTCTTCCAGGGATGAAGAACTGCACCGCGGATCAGTTTACGTGTCACTTGAACCGCGACGAGTGCGTGTCACTCGCGTGGATGTGCGACGGCAACAAAGACTGTTCGGACGGTTCCGACGAGGCCGAGTGCAGTAAGATTCTGCACGGACTCTCTAACGCTTTTCATTCTTTCGATACTTGTTTACTATCTGCATGCGATCTCATAACTACTAGTCCATAGATATTTATGTAACATGGCAATACACATTCATCCCTTGATATAATACACCCATCCCGCATGGTTCTGTACGTTGCACGTATCATTTATGCAACAATGCGTTGGTCGTCGGTCGGTGGTTTGTGAATTAGTATTATCCGGGGACATCTTTTCTATTTCCTAGGGAAAATAGTCACTCTCAATGATAAATTGGTAAATTCAAAGTTTAATACAAGTTATATTTTCCACCACCTGCGTGGCCACCAAAATACGGCATAGTTAATTTAACGTGCAGTAAATTCGTCGGCAGCAGTACGTTTCGTTTAAATTGAACAACATTTTATTACACGCGATGGCTTGTACCGTGCACGGAGGTCTTATTTACCTCGGCGACGTTTTAAAAAAGATATTCTACTCGACTTTATTCATGCCGGACGAAGCCCCGCTAAAGCAGTCTATTCTCTATAATACAGTATTATGAATTATGCCATAATCTTCTGGGATTACACAATCAATGAAACCGCGGTTACAATCCGACGTAAGTTATGTTTGTACACGGGGCGCACAATGCGCGGAACGATTCTAGGATATTTATGGCACGTTGGATATGCAATCGTAAATTGTCCTGGGTAATACCGACGATCAACGCGTTAAGCCCTTTCAACCCTCGCAGCAGCCTTTATCTGCTTCCCTGTGGCTGTTTATGCACGTTTTTTCATTTTTATTCATTTTTCTCGCAACTCCGGTACTGTGAAAAAGTTAAATTAATCGCTTATCACGAGACGAAGTTCCGTAACAAGTTCGAAACGGGTATTAACGTACGTACGTACGTAGGTAAACGCAGATGCATACATACGTTATTTCAGCTGAAACGCACGCTCCGTCGACTTGTTTAATCGGGGTCAAATTGATCTCACTCCACTGGTTATGTAACTTCACCCTCCCAGCCGAGGGTTCAAATATTTAGAACCTCTAAACCTGCCTGCATCAGTTTTTAACGTTAAGCTTGCGCATTCACAAAATATTCCTTGCAAGTCTTGCATATGTTTGTTATCGGACTTTCTTTTATTACCAGTTTCAATTGGAAAAATCGTTCATTTATAAATAACCGAAATATCGGTTTCTCGCCAATTCATCACATATATATGTGTCTTTATATTTGGTCGGTTCTGATGTGTTTGTTTAATCGAAAATCATAGCGGTGCGAATTAGAACATTTTTGCTTGTTTTTTTTCCTCCGCGAATGTGTTTTAGTTTCACCGGGTCAATGAAATTGCAATTTCGCTGTTTGCTCGCCTGTTTTGTAACAACATCCCGTAAATTGAGACAAACATAAACTATGTTGATTCGGTACATACATACGTTATTTGATACAAAAATCAAAACTAGATTCGAATCGATACAGTAATTCTTGTTCAGACTGTTTCGAAACGTATTCAACGACATTATCACCCCTATGAATTTGTTAGAAAACCTAGAATGAATTTTATTGTTGAAAAACGAGTGGTTGGCGGGTGAGTTACTGATTTTTGTTTCACCTAGCCAGCGCACGAGTTCCGTAAACGCTGTTTTAACGAACGGGTTGAAAAAAAAGTAGAGTCCATATAATGAATATTTAACGACGCAGTGTATTCGAGTAACAGTCGTTATTTCACCCTTGAATGGTGTTCAGGCAACGTACCACCATGCAAATGTTCCTTTTTGCGTGCGAGCAATTATATGCGTTTACATAATGTTTCGTCTACATTTCGCTTCATACGCGACTTGATTACGAGCGAGAGTTGTCAGAAAAAGCCGTGGCACATTTGAAAGCACAGGGATGAACTGTAAATGAAAAAAAATTCTAATACTCATTTCAACTTGCGATTCGATACTGAAGCTAGGCGACCCGTTTGTATATCCGAAACAGTGAACTAGTTTCGAGAGCTAGTAATTTTACCGCAATAACCGTTGAACGAAATTAATATTCCATAATAGAGAAATACCGTGATGAAGTGTTAACGTTCCGTTGGCGTGCTTATTAGGAGTAGATATCAAAAGTTAGCTTCGCCGGAGTTTCCGTCGTAAAGCAGAGAGGAATATAACCGAAAGCTGGCTTCGTGTTTTAAGGATTAACAGAGAACACCCGGCGCCCAGTAATCGCCGCCGCATGCTGCACGCTTCTAATTAATAATTGTTGCACGTACGCAAATACCCGGTATACATCGCGGCCACCCCCGGCGCGCTTTTTATTACGCTCTAAATGCAATTGTTATGATTACGGGATCGTTTTCATTCTCTACTAATTAGTCTCTCTTACGAGACCGCACGCGATTGCCGGACCATGACTAATGCTTTACTCCCTTTTAATCCCGCAGCACTACTTTTTATCTCTCTTCTTTTCCTATTTTGTACGTATTTCGTAAGAAAACCTTCTCTATTCCGTGCTTTTCACTAGTTTATTTTAACGACTAAATAAATGATTGAAATATGTTAAGGATTAATAAATAATTTAATAAATTTTATCACCCATCGAATTTGTTTCTCGCGAGTTTTTCATTTTAAAACACGTAAATTTCTCATATGCATCATGTAACACAGGGAAATCTCGTGGAATAACTTGGCAACGTTACTGTCCCTAAACAAATGCATGGCTTGTCGGATAAGCTTCAAGTCTGACTGGATTTTCCGTCTCGCACGACGCGTTCACGTTCTCTGAATTTTCCGAGCAGCCCGATCGATTCGTGGTCTCCCGTTTTCACGTCGAAAACGCTATTGTTTCCGCAGTTTACTTTTTCGTTCTTGTTGTTGTTCTTTTTTCTAGTTTCTCCCTGTAGCGTAGATAATCGTTCACCTTTTGCTCTTTAAACGAATCCAATTGTATAAACTATAGACTTTTCTCAGTTTTTTTTACTAAAGACCCAGTATGAAAAGGGTTACGACGTTTAAAAAATGGAATTCGATGTGAGATTGCAAAGGGTGAGACGCTACAGACAATTTATTTTTACCTTTTTATTTTTAATGAACGTACTCGTCAACTTTCAAATATTTATGAAAAACGAAATTTTGCCGTTTTACTCACTCAAACTTTTAAGCGTATCTTTCGACTGTGAAAAAAATTAATTGTTCATTAAATAATTCGAAGTTCGTCGGGTATTATAATTCTGCAGAGGAGTCGATCTTTCGTTCGTTGGAGGTAGTTCGCCAGAGCGTGGTAAAGCAGCGAATTCATCCCGTGATTTGTTACTATTAAATTTACAAACTGGCGAAGAAGCTGCTGGCCGTTTCACGTTAAACAGCGACGTCGTTGATCAAGGACCGCTTAATTACCCAGTTTAATTACACTACTGTGCCAAGAAACTTGATTCTTCCGAGAGCCGCGCACTCATTGAACAATTTGCACGTCTCCCGGGAACATGGAAAAAAGTTTTAATTCGAACAATCGATACCATTAATACTTAAAAGGACCTCCTCCCTCGGGTGATTATTAAACTGGCAACTTAAATCAGATTATTATAAACGTTTTGATGATCCATTTGCATAACGCCGGCCATAAGTATTTATGTTGTAATAAAAATTAATACAACAGTGGATGTAATCTAACGGACGTGTAACGATTAATTAACTCCTGCCGTCAACGAACAAACAATCGACACTCCGCGTTTCCCTGCATCGAGCTTGTTATTAAATGTTAAGTTATAGATTTGTGCATCTTGCAAGTGACCGGTTTGCGTCTCTGTTCATTTTTCGGCTGAATCTCATATGAAACGTGTGTTGTTTAGACGGCACCTGTCGATCCGACGAGTTCACGTGCGCCAATAAAGAATGTATTCAGAAAGTGTGGGAGTGCGACGGGGAAGACGACTGCGGAGACGGGAGCGATGAGAAAGATTGCAAGCCGGTGATCTGCGGCCCCTCAGAGTTTGCCTGCTCAAAGAATTATTGCATAACGTCTCGTTGGAGATGCGACGGCGACTACGACTGTCCCGACAAATCCGACGAAATAGGCTGCAAGGTATTTGGGACTTCGTTCAGTCGTTACTAAGAATGAGATTCGTATCCAAATGGATTTCTAAGTATCTCGAGACATATTTTAGAAAATCGTGATAGTGTGAGATAAAGGGTTTCGAAAATGTTGTTAGAACACGAACGGTGAGCGCCGTAAGCATTGCAACAAGGAAGACGACTTTGACTGCGACGATGATTTCACGTGCATACACAAAAGTTGGGTGTGCGACGGTGAAAAGGACTGCCCGAACGACGCCGACGAATTACCGCAGCGGTGTCACAACGTCACGTGCAGGCCCGACCAGTTTCAGTGCGAGGATCACCGCAATTGCATATCAGGTAATTTAATTGGGAACGTCGGCGCGCGTTAAATAACAACGTATTAACGCGAACCGTCACAGGTCATCTGTATTGCAACGGCAAAGCTGAATGCGCCGACGAAAGCGACGAGAAGAACTGCTCGAGCAAAACCGTAGTCTGCGATCCCTTGACTCAGTTCGAATGTAGCGAGGGCTCTTGTATACCATTGTCAAAGGTTTGCGACAAGCAGCGCGACTGTATCGGTTGGGAAGATGAAAACCAGGATCTTTGCGGGGTGAACGAGTGCTCGAAGAACAACGGTGGTTGCTCGCAGATTTGCATCGATCTGCCTATCGGTTTCCAATGCGACTGCAACCCGGGCTACAGACTGATCGACAATCGAACTTGCGACGGTAAGAAGCGATTCAAATTCCTATGATACGAGTTTTTGCTAAAATATTGTGCTTCTGCTTTATAACTGAAGAGAAGGATGATCAGATGAACTGTGTCTCTACTTTCAGACATAGACGAATGTCTGGAGCCGGGCAGCTGCTCCCAGATCTGTTTGAACCAAAAAGGTGGTTTCAAGTGCAGCTGCGTAGCGGGTTATCTCAAGGACCCGCGGAATCATACACGTTGCAAGGCCGCGGAGGGTCACGCGAGTCTGCTCTTCACCAGGCGACACGATATAAGAAAAGTGGCTCTAGACCGGCTGGAGATGACCAACATAGTTAAGGACACAAAAATGGCTGCGGCGCTTGACTTTGTTTTTCGCACCGGCATGATCTTCTGGAGCGACAGCAGCGAGAAGAGGATTTACAAGTAAGCGATTCGACGATTATCCATTGTTTAATTCGACTGTAAAATTGAATATGCCGAATTTTCTTCAGAGCTCCTATAGACGAAGGGAACGAGCGCACGGTCGTGATTGACGACGGCTCAACAACGTCCGACGGTCTCGCCGTTGATTGGATCTACAATCACATTTACTGGACCGATTCGGCAAAGAGTACTATAGAACTGGCCACTTTCGAGGGAAACATGAGGAAGACTTTGATTCGAGACCGCGTGCAAGAACCCAGGGCGATAGCTCTAAATCCTCTGGAGGGTTGGATGTTTTGGACAGATTGGAGCGACGAAGCTCGTATCGAGAAAGCGGGCATGGACGGATCTCATCGCACGGTAGATCTCTAATGGAATCTGTCCCTTATAACGACTTTGCAATTACTAGACTGCGGATTTCAGACGTTTATAGGAGGAGCTTGAATGTACAAAAATTGTAAATGTAGTTTCAGTATTTGAAACTGATTCAACTCATATAAAAATCCACAGTCTGACGATTGATCCTGATAGACATTTGTTAAATAAATTCTGTTAAATAGCGTGGGTAATTGTTCGCAGGTGATTGTCGATAACGACGTACAGTGGCCGAACGGGCTGACTCTGGATCTGATCGGCGAGAAAATATATTGGGTAGACGCAAAGTTGAACATAATCGGATCGTGTAATTACGATGGTACAGGTATACGGACGGTCCTATACTCGCCTGATGTACTCAGGCACCCATTCAGTATTACGACGTTCGAGGATTACGTGTACTGGATCGACTGGGACAAGGAGGCGATATACAAAGCGAACAAGTTCACCGGGCAAGGAGTCGAGCCTGTCACGTCGCTACGAACCCTCAAATACCCGATGGTGGTTCACGTGTATCACCCGTACAGGCAGCCAGACGGAGTGAATCAGTGTCAGGCTGTGAACGGTCATTGCAGTCACTTGTGCTTACCGGCACCGAGGATCAATTCGAAATCGCCTCTACTAAGTTGCGCCTGTCCCGACGGCCTAAGATTGTTACCCGATGGTTTAATGTGCGTGGAGGAAGGTGAGTTACGAGCTGACTATCACTTTCTTTGGTATAAACTTGGGAAACGATTATCGATCGAACGTGATATAATAGAAAGACCTTGGTGTATTTTTTTTATTTTATTTTTCTTTTTATATATTTTATTTATTATCGAAAGCTTTCAAGCATTGATCTACCGTGCATGTATCGACTGAAATTTAGAACAATCAAGTCGTAACGAAAGATGTTGCATGCTGCATTAGGAGTTTAAACAAATCGATAAATTGGAAATAAATTTCGTTTGAATTAATCGAACATCATTAATTATCTCATTTACATACATATACGGTTTTATATTGGATTCATTCATACGGAGGGATCGAACGAGAAAGCTTATCGTACGTGTATATTTACAAGAAAACTGAAAGCTATTTCGAAAATACAGCATGCTTGAAACTGATCGGCCTGTCACGCCGATGATGCTACGTTTATTATTATTTTATTACTTATTACTATTATTTTGCATCTCGATGTTGCATGAATATGGGATATCATACAGTAAGTACGACTGTAACTCCGACGACGCAAGAAATTACCAAACCCTTCAAAAGACTCGAACATCTCAACGTTACTACCTCGACAGTCCGTAAGTACAATCGCATGAACTTTGCAAATACCTACGCTTTCGGCTAAACATGCTTGGCTTCTTGGTTCAGAAAATACATAATTCTGCTCTACGAATGTACATATTACGTATATGTATCTGATATCACTCGTTTTATGATTAAAATTGTGCTGCAAATTCATTATATATAGAATTGATACTAATGATAACACGGGAGCATGCGAGTTCTAAATTATAGAATACGGATCGGTATACATGAAGAATTGCCATAGTTTTCCTTCATACGATTGAATCATTTTTTCTAGATCCATCGCACTCGGTAGACGACGAGAAGGACGGTCTTTCGTCCAATTCAACAGACCCGGGTTTGGTCGCTGGTATAGTTATTGGGGTGGCGTCCGTGGGGCTGTTATTCCTCGCATTAGTCGCAGTATTATGCTACAGGCATTACCTTCATCGTAACGTGACGAGTATGAACTTCGACAATCCTGTCTACAGGAAGACCACGGAAGATCAGTTTAGTCTCGAGAAGAATAGATTTCCGCTCCCCACTGCTACAGTTGGAGAAGAGGTAATTACCGTCTACGATGTGTCATTCCGTTAAACAGAATCGTACATCTTTTTTTATTAATTTTTTTTTTTATAATTTGCTGAATCTTCGCGTGAACACATGCGCATGCATTCGTTTGAAGTAATTGTTTTGTTTAATTTCAATAGGCTCAGGAACCTTTAACGAGTCCTGGAACTAACGATTACGTTTAAGAATGAATCTGTCAATGAAAACGGGCTTACCAGGCTATTGAAAATAAGTAATATCGACCAAGCGAATACTAAGTCGTGTGTAGGAAAAGAAAGACAAAATGAAACGAAACGAGAGAAAGAAAACGACAAAGCGCGCATGTACGTCGAACGAGCTGTCCAATAAAATATGCCTGCGTTTGCCCGCCTGCCTGCCAACTCAGCTGTGATTATGTTTATTTTTTTGTACCGTCTCTATTCCTTTACGAATTGTAATGCATCTCGTCATTCAACACTAACTATACATACATATTTACTAAACGTACGTACGTGCAACATATATATGTATTTAGATTTGCTCGGGAAGGCATAAAGGGAGAAATATTTATGGCGGACTATATTATACATACACATAATTGTTGCCAAATAAGCGTGTCAGTTTTCTCGAGAGATAGAGATCGACGAGGTATAAATGATGAGAAGATAAATGCTATTTTATAATGTATTTTTCCTTTTGCGTTTAACGTACGGTAACGTGTAACATATACATAAAAATAGCGCTATTTACCGTTCTATGTGGGGTCATGATGCAACTATAAGTGTGTTTAAACTCATATAAATATATATAGAGAGGAAATATTTTTATGTACGCGTAAGATCTTTAACTTGTTATTGTTTCGCTATTTATTCTTTAAGAATATATTTTCTCCAGTATATATATATATCATTTCTAATTAGTGTACATCGTTACGTTACTCGAATTCACATGTATATAATACACGGATACTCAAACTATATTATCATACGAATAATTTTCCTAAATCCTTCGCGGGTTCGTTAAATTATTTACATACACACATATACATATATATATATATAAAACATATATCGTACAATATTTTAATAGTGCCAAAAGAAGAAAACGTTCCGAAAGTTTGTTGATATTTTATACAGTGACTCAAAAAAAGACGTGGTCTCAGAAGGATATTTGTTTGAATTTTAGGAATAGCAATAAATCTAATTTCGGTAATACAGCTCAAACGATAGGACTTTAAGCATGTAAACGTGTAAGTCGTTTCTCCTTTTATGTCAGGTATACACAAGTACATAATGTAGCGTTATTTTTGTTTTTGACCGCGTTCGCACGATTATTTCATTAAGATTAAGATTTTTCTCACCGATGTATTGCGTTAACTTTGACAATTATAACAAGATAGGATTGAAAAATGATAATTAGACGTAATAAGAATAAGATCGGCTCAATGACACCAAGTGTGACTGCGTGTCTGTCAAGACGAAAAAAAAAGTAAAACTGTTGTTTAGATACTACACCTAATAATAAAAATGATCAGTGTATATGTATAGATAATTATCGCCTCGGATTTAAGAGTCTTACTTGTATTACATTACACATACTTTACGAATTATTGTACCGAATAATTAAATGTGAGACAGACGTTCTTCTAGATAAGACATAAGATTGTTAGCAAGTATGATAATGATTAGAACGAAAAACTAAGGTCTGTGTCTATTAAGAAGTGGCAATAACGTCCTTCGTTATGTTTCTATGATGTATATTTTTAAGTTTATTCCGTATTAAAATTATATTGGTTGTTTGCGCGACATAGAAAAAGGCAACTATATATACGTTTTCCAGTGAATCGCACGGTGTTTCATATTTCAAGTCGGGCTGCAGATGTATAAAGGTTTGCTACTTTTTAATAAAGCACACGCATTCTTACATGCGAGCGAAAGAGAAAGCAAAGTCCAAAATTAAAGTATAGAGGCTCGGTGGTGATTTTAATCAAAAGATAGGACAGGAGTGTGCGGTGAGTATCGATTGCAATTAATAATTGTGTGAATCACAGGTCACGGGGCATAATTTAGCCAACCTATTCGCCAACATCGTGTCAAACATTATTTCTATGCAATACATATTATCACTACACACGCATAATAATATAAATATATATATTATATATATAATTTATTATAATGATTATTGTATAAATAAATATATAAAATAAATCACACTACCATCATTATTTTAATACGTACACCCCAACCAAAACGATTCCCAATCCACTTTGGCATGAACGCATGCAAAAATTAGATTTTCCTTACGCAATACGAGTGTATTGGATATTTCTCCATATAGAATAGAATTAGAATCATCGATGCGTGTGGCGCGGCGGCCGATGTTAGCCGATGTTTTAAAAAGACACGAAACGAAAAGCCAACATGCAAAGCTAGAAATGGGAGTGGGGAATACGCGGTAGGCGGGCAGTTAACACAAGGTTAGCACATGTATACAGAATTCGCGGTCTTTTTTCGTCCGTAGTACAGAGTAACCTGACCGGTGTTACTAAATTTTGAAAACAGTACAATGAATCCCAATTATCCATCATGTATAAAAATCGTAAGTGCTTCGAGGACTGGTAAACGACTTCATCTAACAACAAAATCACAAAAGGACTTAAAACTTTCAGCCTTCGACAAATTCGAAACAGGACGCAACGATAACAGTAGGCGGGAATATCGCGAGGGCTTCGATGATGGAGATACAGGAGACAGAAATACTTTATAACGAATTAGTCTTAATAGCCGATCGAATATTTGGTGAAAGAAAGTGGAGTCATATCGTTACTAATCAAGAAATCGGTACATCTTTTCTTCAACATGTAAAATATCACTATCTATACAATTCTATACAGAATCTGTTGATTTTTAACTTGGTTTTCGTTATGGCATAATCTCGTAAATAAAACAGATGTATTTTAGATTCTGTTGAATCGTTCATGGGCAAATATGTATGTGGATGTGTGACATTTCTCAAAATCCAATTATCTGATGGCGTGTTTCACGAAGATATGGGATATTATTATACAGAGGCAGCTATAAAAAGTGTGTCGATACAATCTGCGAGAATCGTACGTTTCGAGTTTGTATTCTTTCATGTCACAACAATTTATTTTCTTTTTATTATAAATATTCAGGGTTCTCATGTAGATGCCTTTAAAAGAGTATTGTCATGCTTTGGTAAAGAGATAGGACACGAAATACAAAAACTGTCGAAGACACCAAAATTGGATAAGATTACGGATTACAAGACAGATTTGGAATATTTTGAGACGCTGGAACCATGTGCTCAATCAACTCCACTTTTAGAAGGTACTAAAGAAAAGGGACCAAAAGGTCCTCACCTTTATTAAAAATATTCACTTACCTATGTAGATTCTCAACAAAATATTCTACATCATCTGCCTTTTAGTTAATGCAACAAGACAAAATAGTTCAAATATTCCAAAGAGCCTAAATAATGTACAGCTAACAGTTACAAAACCGGAAATTCAGAAAACTGTACAAAAACCACTTGAACATAAAGTGGACAATGTAATGCGTCCTATACAATCCAATACAATTTATGAAAAGAAGCAAACTAATGGGAAAACCGAACAGAATGCAAAGAAAGGTAAATCAATTAAAGAGTACTGTTTTTTAATCCAAAGATGACGATCAGTGTAAATTATGAAAATTGATTTTTCAGAATTAACTGAGGAAGAAGCCTTACGAAATGAAAGGAAACGGAAACAAATGGAAAAACAAGCAGAATATAAACGATTAATGAAAGAGAGAGAACAACAGAGATTGAATAAACTCTAATCTAAAATATTAATTACTATCGTTGCATGTAAAACTTTATACAATAATTTTTTTAATTGCTTGTAAATAAATCTCCAATAATATTGAATATACTGGCAATTAGTATAATCAACTATATTAGCCCAATTGATCACTTTTAATTGTCATTAGTGATCCGATAGTATAATATTTTACACACATATCATATTAGAAGATATTAATTAAGATCTGAGAAAAGGAAATATCTAAGATGTATAAAGTACATGTAATAAATAAAGTCCTACTAATAACGCAGCAGTCTTATTTACAAAAATGTTTGTAACGAATTTGAAGAAACGAGAATCGTAGACAAATTACCTGATCTTGTGCGTTTATAAGAAGCACAGGCAGTTGACGTAGTATTCGTTTTGGAGATGTTGAACGCCCAAGAAATAATCAATTAGGAACAACGTGTCAGCAGTGAGCACTGTTATATTCATTGCACTTCGCACAAATTGCAATAATCGGTTCGTTACACGTTACACCTTGCTATGCACGTTCGCATTCCAAAATTTAAACAGACTAAAGACTAAACTAATCGCGTCTATCTTTGCTTTTTACGGTTTGTGTTCTGTTTTATTCTTTCACCTGTATTATTCTATTCCATCTTAATCTAAGCTTAAAGCTGCGTATTCGAGTATTCTAGCTGGCTTAAGCGTAAGAGTTTCTTTTACAATACGCGACACGTATATACAACGAAGCCTGTGAGTCAAACACTTTCAGCCCCCTTGATAACAAGTGTAATGTTCGTAAATAATTTAAACAAGACTCAATGGTGTAATATTCGATTTACAGGCTTTGTTGCGTTCTACACTTTACTCTTGATATATCGAATTCGTTGTTAATACACATATTTACAATGCAAAGTTACTAATCGTAAGATTCTGGAACGGCGCGCGTTCGACGGAAGTTTCTAATAGTTTCTCCGAGAGCCCTCTGGTCGAATGACAATGTATAAATTAATTTTATACGAACAATCTGAACATTTTCAAAGTGCATCTTCTCTAAGTAACTGTTTTAACTTTTAACTACGTCTCTAGTCGCGATGTTTTTCAAACTTGTACGTTACGCACATATAATTGTCGTTCCAACTCCGGTGAATTAGACATACATTTTGTCTTTCGGCCACGTAGTACAGAATTATAATTCGTACAAGCAACGTCTTTTTTAGTTCGATCTACAAAAATATCTACCATCGTTACGGGACGTATTGTTGAAAATAAACAAATTCGATTGTTTAGACTCTAAATTCTAGATTATAATGATCGCTGTTGTACATCGAAAAATAAATAACGTTCATAAATAATCTTTATCCTCTGTGATACGGTGCATAATTTTTCTGTATAATAACGTTTCGTGAACAGTACTTTAATTTGTTACAACAATGAAAATCACTATGGACTTTCCAGTCAACGACAAGGAGTAGTAATGCTTTCTACAGTTCTATCGTCTCAAGTAGAGTGAGGAACATGTTACAGGTGTCAAACAAGTCATGTAAGTAGATACATATAATATGTTATAAAATATTAAATGTTATAGTCATAGCATTCATATTTATTAAATGTTTCGCATGAAAGCCATTATAAACTGAAAAGCCAACAGAAACAGAAAAACTATTGCCTACCTATTTGCTTATAACTTGGGAAACGCGAATAACTATAAAATTTTGGGGCTAACTTGCAGCTTAAAAGATGTCCATCTATTTTATGTACAAACGTAATTTCCTAACACGAGGCAAGCCTAAACTTGAATACCAACGTGAATACGTCTATAAGAAATGAGATTCTATAGTTTAAAAACTGCTCTTATTCGTCATGCACGTACCTTATATGGAACCCTGTTTTTTTTATTCCGAGAATATGTATTTTTTTACAATTATATATTGCGAGCATCGAAAGCAACGTTCTTGTACTAATTACAAATATCGTATCGTATCGAGTAATGTAAATAGTGAAAGGCATTCTATATTAGATAATTAATTATTTATTTGTTAAGTAAAATACTATGAAATCAGCGAAAAGATTTCAGAGATGATCAGTACAATTTTTCGAAAAAATTGTAGGATGAAATGACAATGATAGTTACACATGGTTCACATGAAAATAAATAATTAACAACGTAGAAAATCAATTAATATCTAAATAGTTATCATGATTACTGATTAGTTCTTTTTGCATAGCACCAAAGTACTGTGATTCTCGTCTAGTAATATCTATCTACGTTTCATTTTCAAAGTTATATGCACATCATTCTCGACATCTGTACAACTACAGAATTAACAACAAGTACTATATAATGTATATAATTAGATCTCGGCAATAGCTTTCAGGCAATTAACGTAATTGAAGCACTGAAGATATAAATAATTACATATAAATATTTGTTTGATTATTGGCCATTTATTCATACGAGTATATCTTTGTTTCGATTAATTGCGGAATTAATCAGTCAACATCCACACTACATTCGTTGTGTAATTGAATTACACCGGTTTATAAAGTCGATCGTCGAAAAATGGTTGATTAGAAAAAATTTTATTGACTTAATCACGATTTCAATGGATCTAAAAATGGACATCTTCTCTCTTTCATATATTAAATGTACAACAATGATAAATAATTTTAATGCGAACTAAAATCCCGTTGTCACATGTAAACGAATTCGAAATTTCCATCGATCAATCGATAACGTTGCCTATACTATAAATGTCCTGTTCGCCGTATCACTTATTATTATCCTTCGTCACGTTACAAGTGGGCATGCACTTGAATTTCACGTCGAAATCGACTTGTTCCTCGGAAACGACCGAGGTTGTCTCATCTTTAGTCTCATCGTCTTCCTCATTCTCGTCGTTCTCCTCGTCATCCTCTTCCTCGTCTTCTTCGTCCTGTTCGAGCAACTGTTTTCGAGCCATTTGCACTACCTGCCACTCTTGGTAATGTTGCTTTCTCTTTGCTTCGAACGCTTTTCGCTTCTCTAGAATTTTTTTCAAACAGATTCACATCTTTTTGTGTTCACTCGCGTCTCTTTTCGCTCGACTTATCCCATTTAATAATACATTTCAAATCATATTCGTTCGTAACAGAATACACTAGTATCGTATAAATATGTCAAGGGTTTATTGTACTTTTAATTTATACATTATTTTTACATTGTTCAATTAAAATACGTACGAGAGTCTATTACACTTTTTTCCTCCGAATTCGTGATAATAA